TGCCTTGTGCAAGGGCCAGTGCTATGTCCTAGCAGGATCTCACCTCTGCACTGCCCAGGGTGCTGTCCTGCCTCAGTTTCCCTCGTCTGTGTGTGAAGCAGAAGCCGAGGCTGATGGAAGCTGCCTTCCCGCGAGCTGTGCAGTTGCTCGCAGATGCTTCTCAGTGTGATCCTAAAAAGAACAAAAGGGAGCAAGCATAAATGAAATTTATTGTTGGAAAATCTTAATTAGATTTTAAGCCCCAAAGGGAGAAAAGTGAGGTATTATCTGACACAGCTAATGAGTGTTAAGGGTCCATTGTTATATCTCTTGTTTACCTTTCTGTACTGGCTGATACAGCCCAGATCCTCGTCTGTACTGCCATAATTAGGATATCTCATCTCTTGCTGATAGGGTTGGGATGCTCTTTAAAGCACAATGCTGTCTCATCCCTCCCTGGCAGAATGAGCGTGATTGGGAAGACAACTTCTGGCGTGCCAGTGCTCGTGCCTTCCACACAGCCCCCATGAGCTGGGGAATGTCCTCCAGAGTCCGGGTTGTTCCTGAGACCCCCGGGAGAGGGGCACCTCCCACGGCCTCAGAGACAACTCTGAAGGGCCCTAAGCCAACTTGCCTGAGGGCCAAATCCCCTCCAACACCTCTCCACACAGCACAGTGGGGTTAAAGTGTCCTTCACAAGCCTCCCCCCACCCACCAGTGAAGGGTAAGGACACCACGAGTTCTGCATCCCACCCCCCATTCCATAATGCCATTATCTCTGAAGCCTTGGGCTTCAGGAAGATGTCCAGGGCTGTGTTCTGCTGCAGACAGGATAGTCTCCTCTGGGGGAGAAGATATTCGGGGGGGGGGGGGGGGGTTTGCATCCCCACTTTGTTACAAGGTGTATCATGACTTTTCTTTGTGACCTAGGAGGGTGCAATCCATCTCTTGGAACCCCAGATAATGAGATATCTTGTTGAAAGCCACCTTTACTCTGATGCTTCCCTGATCTCTCCTGAGGCTCTTTAGCTATGAAGCTTTGAGGTGTTTCTGTTCCAGCTGTAACTGGAGCATTTTGGGCAGGTGGACACCTACAACATAAATTATCCCAAGGTAGTTTAATTGCAGATTTGCTGTATTCAGGTAAACTGCGGCTGGAAGCAGAACCAGCTCTATCCTTGCACCTGAGCAAACCTGGGGTTTATCTCCTGGCATTGGGCACCTTGACACCCAGGAGGTGTGATCTGGATCTCCAGAGGAAAAGAGGGAGCCTGTCCCACCCCCGAGGTCCTTTGGGTGGGGAAGAAGCCCAGCCACCCAGGTAGAAGCCAGGAGGGGTGGCATGGAGGGGTGGCTGTGTGTGGGCAAGGGGGCTGCAAAGTTTTTGGTCTCGATTCAAGCCACTGAAAGCCAGAAGAAAAATACCATCCATTGTTGGTTTATACACCCGTAGTAGCCAAACAAACATCCCCGGAGCCTGTCCTTATCACTTTATTACACCTGCTAGAGTGAATAGATTAAAGAGAACGGGGGAGGAGGGAGAAAGCTGAAGAATCCAGCAGAAAAACTGGGTTTTGGGATTGTTAATTATTCTCTGGGGTCTCTAATCTTTAACTGGCAAACAGCATCACTAACTGTCTTAAAGCCCCTCCTGGAACATCCTGATAATAAGCCATCTGCATGAAGGCACCCCGTTATCTGCCCTCCTCCAGCCGCCTGTGACATGGCTGGAGTGGGAGATAATGAATGTGTGGTGTGTAATAACGACACGTCATTCATGATTATCGGCCTGATACCCAACCTTTTAGCTCCATTGTTTGTGCTTCAAAAAGAGGAAAAAAAAAAAAAGGAAAAGAAAAAGAGAAAATAAAAAGGAGAAGGGAAAAAAGGAAAAGGGAAATTTTTGGTGCTATGGATTGTCCCGGGGTCCCCGAGGTGTCTCTGTGCCAAAGGGGCTGGCTCTCGCAGCATCTCCCAGAGGGTTTGTTGGTACTCGGGAAGGACTCGCCCTGGATTGGCGGCTGCTGTAGCCATGGTGACGGAGGAGCGAGCTGAGACAGCGCAGAAATGTCACCGCCTGCCAGGGAGATACTTGGGGCAAATGCACGGGCGATTAGATCTGTGTCACTGCCTGCTGCCCGGCTCCTCACACAGCTCCTTTGCTGCTCTCCCAGCCGTTTGGCGGTGGCTTGGCAGAGGAGGTTATCTTGTACAAGCTGCTGTCCAGAAACTGCCACGGTTTGAAGGTGGGGGGGTGTTTGTGCTGCTCAGTTTGACCTGGCTAAGCTGAAAACGGGAAGAATTTTCTCCTGGTTGCTGCTGCATTAGGGCTTCACGGTGCATCGGTGCTGCGAGTCCTTCCCTCAAAAGCTTTGGCCCTTCAAACTGCAAACCTGGTTTAAGCACAATTCTTAACAGGAAGAGATTTTAAAGTGTTTGGCTCTGCTTACCTCAATTACTGTCATAGCTGCCTGGAATAGCAATCCATTTTTTGCATCAAAAATGTCAGCAGTTTCTCCTCTCCAAAGAGGTTACCAAGAGCAGTTTCCCTGGAGAAAGGGAAACTTCTCTGCTGGAAGTGGTTGGGGTTGGCCATTCATAATCTAGCAATCAGAAGGACACTTGGAAACCAAATGGGCAGCTTTGGTCATGGCAGTGAATAGGGTGATGGCCCCAAAACACAGGGCACTGTTCAGTCCATGGGGTGGACAGCAGCTGGGGGTCCTACCCCCTCCATTCCCAAACCAGAAAATGCTGTAGTGACACCTCTAAGTGCCATCAGGTTTGTTTTGGAGCCCACCACCAAGGAGACTGGGATGGGTCTGTGTGGCCAAGGGTACCCAAAGCTCATTTCTTGGACCACCTAGAGTGGAGAGTAGATGAGCAGAGCTTCAAGGTGGTTTGCCTCTTCCCAGATGGGTGGCTGAAATGTCTGACAAATAGGATTTTTCAGTAACAAAAAGGTGTTTTTAAACTACTGTCCTCTGAAGGCCTGGCTGTGCTGGAGCTGGGGAGGAGGACAGCAGGAGTCTGACCTTCCAGACCTGAGTCCACCAGTGGTGCCAGGGTGGTGGCACTGGCATCAGCACAACCTGCACCCAGCCTCCTTCTGCATGTGAGAAGGAGAGGGCTGGGAGAAGAGGAACTTGGTCTTCAGCTGCCTTGCAAAATAAGCACAAGCTGCACCTTGCTGGCTAATCTCAGCATCCCCGTCCCTTTTGGTACCCACATAGCCAAAACAAAGGTCTGGATCGAGACCGAGGAGAATTCTGTTTCTCAAAGTGAGGATGCAGCAGGCAGCAGGGATGGGGAGCAGGAGGGCTGCAGGAGTTCTGTCAGATGGGGAGGTGCTCAGGTCTGACTGTCCTGATCTGGCCATCAGCAGAGAGCTGCTCAGGCAGACAGACAGGCAGACAGACAGGCAGACAGACACGGTTTGGATAGGCTGGAGCCCGCAGTGATCCTGGTGGTGCCAGTGCTGGGGGTGACAGCTGCACAGCCTTGTCTGTCACCGTGGCATGGCACATATGCAGGCCTTGGTGCCTTTGTTTGCCCTGAGGCCCTCTGAGTGCCCGGGCCCTGGCAGTGACAAATTTCCCCTGGGATGTGGGTAATGCCCCACACACACGGGGGACTCTGACAGAGTGGCTGCTCTGCCGAGGGAGGGGACAGGGATGTCCCCAGGGACAGGACGCATTGTCTGCCATGGCTGGCCTGGGGGTTTTACCGGGGACCAGGGAGAACTTTTTCTGTGTCTCCCACTGCCACCTACTGATCCATTTCACGCCCTGGACCTGCAGCTCATCCAGATGGTCCACCTGGACTCGTGCTGGGGAAAGGCTCCCTGTACCCCCACAACAAACCCAATTCCAGGGCCCGTGCTCACCTGCACCCCTTGGCAGGCCACCCTGGAACTGAGCAGCCAGTTCTCAGCCTCTGCAGGACAGAGTTTGAGGCAGACTCACATCTCTTCTTGTTTTATTTTGCAAGCTGACTTTGTTCTTACCACCAGCACTTTTGTGTGTGTGGTGTGTATTTCTGTTTTGCTTTGTTTGACCACAGAGCATTTCAGTTGTTTCCTTACCACTGAAGTGCCTGGAGTCACAGGTGGGATGATGGATGGCGTGGGATCTGTGGAAACAGGCTCAACAGGGTGCATGGAAGCAGTGCTTGTGGCTTGAGAAAACACTGACAGCACTGCACCCTTGGGCGCAGCCTTGCCTCTGGCCTGCTGGGACTCCTCTTGTACCCTGCTGGGCCCCCAAATGTGAAGGAAGCCAAAGTCATGCTTGGAGATCATCCCCACAAGGCTTTATTTTCATTTCAGAGAGGAGAACAGTGCCGATCACACGCTGTTTCCAGTGTGCCAAGTGCTTCCTCAGGTCAGCTGGTGGCATTTTCTGTGCTGGCTCCTGAGCACCCTGAGCTCAAGGAAGTTCAGAGCTGGGGCAGAAAACAACCACAAGCATTCATCTCTGTAATGGTGGGCACAGTGCCAGCCCCAGAACAGGAATTGTTGGGAGGGGAGTGTGTGGGGATGCAGGGAGGATGCTGGGAGGGCCCTCCTGGCCAGGCACACCCAGGCTGGAGGCAGGGCAGGGGCTGTGCTGGGGCAGTGCCCAGGCTTTGGGCATCCCTGCCAACCACGCTGGGTGTTGTTCACTGCCAAGCCCACAGGGGAACTGACAATGGGACAAATCTAGAGGCAGGTGACAGAAGTCCTGTCAGGGAGTGTGTGAGGGCAGGTTGGAGATGTGGAGATGAGCAGGACATGGAGGATGCCCCTGGAGGTGAAGGATGAGCCACAGCAATGCTGTGGAACCCCCTTGGCAGTGCTGCTCCCCTTGCAAGGAGGGGAACTGAACCTGCTGGGTTTGGTGTTTGTGGGCTCAGCAGTCCCCTCTGGATGACAGTAGGACAGGGGATAATATGGGAGAGGTCCACTGTGGGTCTGTTTGGTGATCCCCTCTTAAACCTGTGGGTGAAGGGTGTCCCTTGGGAGAGCTCTGATCCCTGTGGGATCAGATTTTCTTCAAATGCAGGTGTATCCCGTTGCTGGACCTGAGGATGATCTGTGGTATCATTATGGGAAGCTTGGAAGGGTCTGGGTAGAGCTCGAAGCGCTTCAGGGTCAAGGCCAGGGCCACCTTCATCTCATTCATGGCAAACTGCTGCCCGATGCAGTTCCTGTGGGGAGGGGGACAAGTGCTCTGATTGCTGCCTTCATCCCCAGCCACCCCAAGCTGCACTCACCCCATGTGAGAGCTGGGGCACCTCCAGCTTCTGTGAGGATGACACCACAGCTTATCCAGTAAGCCCCTGATGCACCTAGCTCTTCAATACCAGTGGTGGGGTGTTGCTATTTATTTTATTATTAAACATTGAAGAAAGATACCTTCTGTGAGGATGACACCACAGCTTATCCAGTAAGCCCCTGATGCACCTAGCTCTTCAATACCAATGGTGGGGTGTTGCTACTTATTATTAAACATTGAAGAAAGATATGAGATTGAGAGAACAGGGGCTTACTTCACTAGGAAGTGCAGCCAGGATCCAGATAAAAACCCAGACACCTCCAAAAGGTTATTTCTGGCTCTGTGAGGTGATCCTCTTGCAAGCTACTGAGACCTCAGTATCCTACATCTATCCATTGATACAGTATGGGACCCATGGAGACTTGGCCCTCTTGGCTTTGAGGCACTCTAGGACTCACCTCTAAACAAGGGACTGGTGTTCCCAACACAGGCAACAGAAAATGTAAACATCTCCACAAAGCCACAAGAAAAAAATGTATGAAATCCTACAGTGACCACAGAGCTGATGGAGCATGGAAATCCTATTACAGGAGATGCTGTAATAGGAGATCCTGTTACGGAAAGCCTGCTTGAGTTGGCCAAGCCAGCTTGGCTTGTGGAGACTGAGGAAGGATTAACCTTAGGAGCTCGCATCTGAGCTAGGTCTCACATGCAAGGCAGCCTGATAGGAAGGAGAGGGATGAAGGATCTCCCACCTGGATCCAGCAGAGAAAGGCAGGAAAGCATGGGAGTGCCTCTGTGCTGAGTTCTCTGGAGAAAACCTCAGGGGATTATAAACCTGTGGGAGCAACAAAGACCATCTGGTCAGTGTTTGGTGTGATCTGAGCAGCACCAGGTTCTTCCCTGGTCCCCAGGGCTGGATGTGGCCTCTGCTCCTCCTGGGGGAGCTGCAGATGACAGTCATCTCTCTGCAAAGCCATTGAGTGGATCTTCCCCTTGGACATACCCAGGTCACCCACTACAATGCCCAAGATGACTGCAGGTGTTTTCTCATCCATGGCAGCAAGGATCAAGCCAGGATCCCTCCATTCCAGAGATGTCTGATCCTTGTTCTCCAGACAGCCACTGGAGAGAGGCAGCTATACAGCCTTCTTCAAACTTTCCAGTTATTTCTTGAAGCCTCTAAAATATCATCTTCAAATCGCACACTCTCTTGTGGGGCTTGGGACTTCTCACACCATTCTAAGTGTGTGCAGGGCAGCTGAAAGCAGTCAGAGCATCTCTGTCACCATGCACAAAGAGAGACTATTGAACACCATTTCCCAGCCCTTTGTCATGTTCAAAGCCTTTGGGGTGTTTGGTAACTCGATTGAATTTTGTATTTAGATGTGGACTGTTGGAATGACATAGAGAGAAAAAAAAAAAACCACTGCAGGCAGGCACAGGCTGCCTTCCTCAAGGGGAATGGATGTCTGGGCTCAGAGCCCATCCTCCCTTTCTTGTTATCAAGGTGAAATACCTCAGGGTCCTCCCACACTTCCCGGTTCCTGTGAATAGCAAATATGCTCAATGCAACATGGCAGCCTGTAAAAGAAAAGTGAGAAAAAGCTCATGACAGCTCAGAGTGAAAATGCAGGACAGGTGTTTTTGGGATGCTCTCCCTCCCTGGGCTCTGCAGGGGCTGTTGCAGGAGATCTGGCAGGGATCTCCTGAAAATCTCACATGTCAAAAACAAAGACCTCAGAGCTGGGTCCCTTTTCATCTATCAGTGTATCACTTTTACTTGGCCAGGAACAGCACTCCACAAGTCCCCTCTGAGCTCTGGAGCACATCCTTGGACTCTGTCTGGTCACCATTTCCAGGCTCACTGTGGCAGCAAGCTGTGGTAGCTACAGGAGGGAGAAGGGAGTCTGGAAGACCCTTCAGCCCTTCCACACAGAGTGTGCTGCTTGTCACAGACAGCAGCATGAAAGACAGACAAACTCAACAGACCTTCTGGCAAGCTGCGTCCATCAGGAAATGTCACGGGTTTGGAGAGCTCTCGGGACACACCAGCAACTGGTGGGAACAGGCGTAAGCTCTCTTTGATGCACATCGTGGTGTAGGTCATCTTCCCAAGATCCTCCCTGAAAGCAAACTTGCTGAGGATGCACTCAACCCCTTTGTCTATGTCACTGACAAAGGTGTTACTGGTCTGTCCCAGTACAGATCCCCGACGGAAACCACTTGTCACTGATCTGGACAATTGGCCACCACCCACCGGATGCCACCTTCCAAATAATTCCCCAACCACTCAACAGTCCACCCACCAAATCCTTCTCTCTCCAATTTAGGGAGAAGAATGTTGGGAGGAACTATGTTGAAGGCCTTCAAGGGTAAATTAAAAGAGTTCAGGATAAAGGAGTAAGTTGTAGCTCACCACTCAATGGTGTCTCGGTCTCCCAGGATGCCCTGGATCTCCTCCCTGCACCGCTGCTGGTGCTCAGGGTGCAGTGACATGCAGTAGAAGAGCCAGGAGAGCCCACTGGCCACAGTATCATGACCCTCAAACATGAAGGTGTCCACCTCAGCACGCAGGTCCTCATCAGACAGTCCAACTCCATTCTCATCCTAAGAAAGACGAGAGCGTGTCATTCCTAAGCACACAGGTCTTTTATTTTTATACCCAAAGGACTTGTATGATTTGGTGTCTCTTGTGCTTCCCTTCTTGTGCTGATGCACCCTCGGTGCCACATGGTTCTGCTCTTTGGCATTTGGTACTGTCATCTCAAACATTTACCTTGCTACAAAGAAGAATGTCCAGAAAATCCAGGTGCTTCTTCTTCTGGATCTTTTCAAGCTCCTTCTCATTGGAGAGCAACATCTTTCTTTCCTTTATTACCTGATCTGCACAGAGGAGAGGTCAGTTCTGTGCATCCTGTCCCTCCAGAGTACCCGCATGTACCTGACTGCTCAGTCATCAGCTTGGACTCTGTTTAAGCTGTAACCCTCTGGCCATTCCATGCTGTAACCCCACCCTAAGCCACTCCAGGGGCAAGTAGCAGAGAGGTTCAGCTGGGAGACAGGACTGGGGAGAAAGGGGCAGGAATACCTGTGTGGGTACGGGCCAGCTTGCAGGCATCCTGAAATGCGTGGCCACTGGGAGTGAAGTTGTAGAAGACATCCTTGAAGGAAAAATTCCGGATCCTATTGCTCAGGAGGTAGCTCAGGTCAAAAACAGCTCTAATATAATAGTGGGAGTTGCTGTAAGGAGACCGAGGTCAAAGCTGGTGTTAGCAAAATGAGTGGTGAAACAGGAGCGCTTGCTTTCCCAGGGTTTGGAAACTCAGGTGCTGACCTCAGAGTCTGGCAGCTGGAATTAAAACTGAAGGCACATTTCATGATGCTGTCTAGTGTCATCAAGCTGACATCCTGAAAGAGCTCCACTGACCTCCTCTCTGTGATTCTCTTGTCCCATTTATCCTAGAGGAAGAGCCAGGGTGAGGAGAGACAGACCACCTTCTGTGGTCAGATCATATTTTCCTGTCTTTCTTCCCAGATCCACACTGTTAATTGCTTTCTTTTCTGGAAGCAGGGACCCTAGCTCATGATATATTCTGTGAACCTAATCTAACTCTCTGCCCATTTATTTTCCCAGGTATGAAAGGATACATATGAGGGTATGAAAGGATATTCTTGCAGTGGTTGATTTTATTGGCAAACAAAGAGAAAGAATGAGTGGAATGTCCAAAGGAAGGTGAGGAGAGCAATTTTAGATCTTCAAAACTACTCCAAAAATTCAGTGAAAGTAGAAACTCTCTAAGTGCTGTCTCTTTGTCTTACTAATTTTTTATTTTCACTGTTTCACAGCTGAAAGGTAAAAGTAGCAGGAGTGGAGATTCTTACCAACATCACTTTGACTGAGTCTGACATCAGGGTCACGTAAGATTTCAGCACATCATAATGAAAGGCTGGGGTGAGCATCTTCCTGTGCTGGAACCATTTGCTTCCTTCCAAGATCAGCAGCCCCTTCCCTGAAGCACAAATAGCAAAGGCACAATCAGCTCCTGCAGGCTCTGATCACAGCTCTGACAGCCTTACTACTGCTTTTGGCTTACCAATCCAGGGAACTAGGAGTTTGTAGACTGCACTAGCCTTGGGATCTGTAAAAGGGAACAAATATCAGAAATGTATGAATAACTGATGAATTCAAGACAAAAAAAGACAATTGCCATTTGCCAATGCCTTCTTGCCATTGCCATGACAACTCACATTTTTACTGGGTTTACTGGTGGTTTACTGGGTTTATTGTGGTGGTAGAAGCCATAGAAGACAGTAAGACAAATGACTTTCAAACTGGGAACTGACAGGAAACTGGAAGGAACAGGTACCTGGTCTCTGTTTTGCAATGGGATACACACTGCTCCATGAAACCTGGGACAGCCTGGGAGTTTGTGAAGAGGAGCAAAAGAAGAATTGCAATAGCTGTGAAGGAAGCTGGCAGAGGGGATAACTCCAGGAAAGTTTCCCAGTATTTTCTTGGTAGGAAATGTCAAAGACTTCTCAAAACTGGAGGCAGAGACTCACCTGCTCGGCCAAGTATGATTTTGGCATATTCAGGATGGTGAATGATTATAGTTGGCAGGACTGGTCCAAGCCATCTGGGAAAGGCATAGGGATATTCTTCTCCCCATGATACTACTTGGTGTAAAAAATTTTCAGATTTTAACTGCAATGAGAGTTAATAATGGATTAATAAAGGCAGAAAAAGAGGGGCATGCCAGGGAGAGAAGAAGTTCTTTATTGGGAAATGAAGGAAGAGTGGGTGGACTTGTCACACAGGGGCTTTTATGCTGCAAGTGGAGGAGAGGATGAGCATTGCAAAGGGACTGTGCACAAGAGGCAAAGCTGCCTGAGCCACCAAATCCCTGCAGCACAAGACAGCTCCATGGAGAGTCCCTTGCTGGGCTGGTGGCAGCCGAGACACCTTTGGATGGAGCAGCTCCATGCTGCACTTAGGAGCTACAGCTGGCATAGGCAATGCCAGGATGTCTAGTGGCCAGGCCAGGAGGACCAAGGCTGCCACACCCCTGCTCCCCAATTCCAGCAGTGCAAGGTGGGCTTACAGTGTGAAAGCAAAGCATCTGCACTATAGCATGGTGAAAATGGCTGCAATAAACACCCTGCTTTTGTGGCCATGTCTTCTTCAGCAACTATAGGGTAAGATGCTCCTTTTGGTAGAAGGTTTAATGTAGCAAAGAGACATTAATTATGATTAATATCGCTCATTATGGTTGCTCATATTTAAATAACTTCATGGAAGTCCCATGACTCTTCATTTAACAACATGATTGAAAAGAGCACGATCCTTTTTTTTGCCAAATGATGCACACCACATATCCAGCACCCTTTCCTCCTGCCCTGCAGAAGCCTTGGCACTCCCTATGCAGAAGTCCTCTCCTGTAGGAAGAGACAGGAGCAGGGCACACGCACACCCCATCCAGCCCTTCTCCATCCTGACTGATACCTTGCACAGTTGGGACAAACCACCCTGACTGAGCCCAGCTACTCCTTACCAGGTGATTGTGGCCATAGAGCCAGTGTTTTGGGGGCCCAGGAAATGCCTCCAGAGCTTTGACGATCTTCTTCCTCTCCCAGTACAACCGGAGCACCTTCAGCAGCACAAAGGTTACACCAAGCAGCGCAGACAGCTGCAGGACGGTGGCAGAAGTTCTGGTTATGCTGTCCAGCAGAGATGCCATGCTGGTCCGGGACACTGCCTTCTCCTGCCTGTTTCTCACCTGCTCCTCGCACGCCTGAGCCCGGTAGGGAGCTCAGAGCAGGTAAAAATCCTCTCCCTCCTACTCTGCAGGAGCTGAGCCTGGTGAAGTGGAGCTGACAGCAAAATTTATAGCTGCTGGAACATCAGGGCAAACATTGCGTCAGCTCAGCCAGCAGCCTGTGCACCAGTTCCCCTTTGACCTGCTTTCTGCAGCCTGTCCCTGCAACCTGGAGAACAACCAGCCTCTGAATATTTCCTGCTTTTGCTGAAGTTCCAGCAGCACTGTCACACCCACCCACAGTCCTCCATGCCCAGGTGGATGAAGCCAGAGGAGGGAGCAGGTGAGATGTAGGCAGGCTGGGGCTCTAGCTGATCTCCGTGCTGTCCTCAGAGAGTTCAGGTGTAGAAGGTGTTCATGTGCCCACAGGAAGAGGAGCACACAGGCCACCTCTTCTCCATGAGTGGGCTGCATGGAGTCAGCCACCTTCACCTGTGAAAGCAGTGCCCTGGGTGCCTGCAGCACCACCCAGCTCTGCTGGGCTGTAAGCCAGAGAACGGGCATCACTCCAGCAGCACACGAGGGATGTGGCCCTGCTCCCCAAGGACTCCTTCCACAGACAAGCCAGAAGACAAAACTGCTGCCAGGGGAATTACCATGGTCAGTAGATGAGACAAGGAGAGGAAAAGCTGCAGAGCAGTGAAGTGAGCTGCAGCAAGGTTGAGAGCATATGATGGGGAGGTGTGATGGCAGGGCCATGTTCCCTCTACAGGTCTGGTGAGCCCTCCTTCCTCTGTCCACATGGCATCTCACCTTCTCCAAAAGGGCTCTGCATCTCTGCATTTACCTCTCCAATGCAGTGCTTCGTTGGTTGCAGTGCTTGGCTCTCTTTGCCATCCCTGTGCAGATCCTGCTGCTTACCTGGGTTCCCATCCCATAAGCCCAGAAACCTGGAATGGCAATGTGGAGTAGGTGGAGAGCTGGGGCTGGAAGTCTGACATGTGTGAGTGACTTCCACGTAAAAAGCAGGATCCCCAGATGGGCTGAAATAATGTCCCATTTGTGTCTTGGAATATTATGAGGATCAACTGGGTTATCAGCTGTGGAGGCTCACAGTCTGATGGGCTACAACACAAGGGCTGAACTTTGTGAGTGCTTCTTCTCAATGTAACACATCTCTGAGACAGAGGACTTCTGATGTTTGGGTACTTCGCTTTAGTTTTTAGTCCAAAATATGCCATGTCCCACATTTTCTGCTTGTAGGGTCATTTTGCTGATAAAACCCACTGTTTGTCTGAGGTTCATGGTCATTGCCTTGGAGAACATCCCTGACAGGCACTACACTGAGCAGTGTTACCTTTTCACACACTTGGCCATCCTCATGTAAATTCGTGTATCTTTTTATACTGAGCCAGCTGTGTCTGTGTGAAAGTTCAGGGCAGAGTTAAAGGTTGATCTTTAGGAGGCAGAAAGCTGTAATCAAGTTAGGCATCTCTTAGGGAGGGCTTTGGGTATAGCCAGAGCATAAGGGACCCAGTTTGACATGACAAACTCTCATGTGAAGACCTGCAAAATATTCATAAGTATTATGATGCTGTGTAGTTGGGTCCCTCACAACATCTGTGCAAGGAAAAGAGGGAGGTGTGATGGCTGAGCCTTTGTTCAGTGCCAGTGGAGCTGTTTGGGATGTGCTGTGGTACCTACATCATTACCAGACTGACCAGTCTGGATTTGGCTGGCCCCTTTCAGAAATCCCCTGCAAAATAACACATAAATACCCCACACCCAGAGGTGGAGGGGCCAAGCCTGTGGATGAAGCTTCTGGTGCAGCTTCAGATGAAACTTTTATAATAACACAGAAATTTTCCGTGCTGACGACGTCCCTGGAGAGTGAGGTTGACCATGAACAGGGTCAATTTTTACCAAGCTGGCTTCCTTATAGTTATAAATTAACCAGTAAACTCTGTAGGGTATGAAGGTAAGGGATATGGTTTGTCTTGAAGTTCATATGATATAGAGGGAACATAGGGGACAAACTGCCTAAACCCTCATTTATGGGGATTTGGAGCAAGAATCTGATCTTTGGTGATAGCAAAACTGGGTTTAATCCAGCCTCCAGCCTCTGCACTCTATATTTCACTGATGGAGGGGAGACAAAAACCTTTCTCATGTATTTCAGAGGTTTCACAGCAAGACAAACCATGAACACTGACAGCCTGGGGAAGAAAACTCAGGGGGTTTTGCTGGGGAAGAAACGATGAAAGTTCAAAAGGCAAAGTGAAGTTGCTGCAGAGCTGCAAGTGAAGAAAAGTGAAATGGGGCAGTATTGGTTTGATCATTGTAAGGGCCTGGGACAAGGCCAGAACCATCTGTTAGCAGAGAATCTACAGCCCTGGTGATGGAGGACCCCAGAAGAAGATCTCAGAATGAAAAAGCAGGTAAAAGGGTTTTCTGCTAGCCACAGTGGTTTGGGGAGGCTGGCAGGGCTTGGCTTGACCTTCTGAACATTTGAGACTGGTAGAACTGCAGCTGGGTGTTAAAGGACACTTGGAAAGTTGTTAAACATTTGCAGAGAGCCTCTGGAGGATTATCTCAGTGGATGTCCACGTGATGGCAGAGGTGTCACAACAGTTCAGGCCATCAGCATGAAACAACCCACTTACACTGGAGAATTTCCATCCCATACCACAGCCATGGACACAGCAGGCTGTGGAATTTGCTTTCTGGGTCTTGGGGATTTCTCCATTCCCTTTAGACACCTAAGCAGAAGAAGGAGAGGATCTTCCTCACTGATTTAACTCCCATGGTCGGAATTCATTGCAGAAAAAGTGGTTTACTGAGCAGGTGAAATTTAGGTGGCAAATGGGTGCTTTGCCCCAGAGGCTGACCTTGCAGCAGCTGCTTTCCCTGGTTGTGCCTGTGTTTATTCAGATAGGAAGGAGAGTCCAGGCCCATCTGTCCCTGTGTGTTCCTGCAGCACATAGTGATGACAGATGAAATGTAGCAGTAATGCCAAAAAAAATAATAACATTTCAAGCTTCCAAACACATGATAGATGAGAAAATCATGGCAAGAGCCCAGCAAGTGTTGCAGAGTAATGCAAGCTGCCTGGATCCCATCTGACCACACATGTCTCGAGGATGAATGTATATCTGGAAGCATTTAATACAGCTGTCTGACAAATATGTAGCAATACTTATTTAATTTACTGCTGCTTCCAGTGTAAAATCCCAGTGGAGTTTAGATGGAAATTGCTGGTGCCATCTGACAGTAAATTTGCCCAGAGAGCAGCATGGGTCCTGTGCAGGGACTGCATTCCTGGTGCTGCGAGCCAACTGCTCTCCCTGCTGGTCCTGTCACTTCCAACATGCCTGGCAGCATCCAAAAAGTGCCACCGGGGAACCGAGATAGACAGACACCCTTCCCGTGACCGGGATGTGGCTGCACAGCGCCGGTGACAGTCTGTGGGGAGGGGAATAACTGCAGGAGTAGGTGGCATCTTTGCCCTGCTGCTGTGGAAAAACCAAGCTGCAATGAGAAAAACCAAGATGTTTTTAACTGAAACCGAGACTGACCCTTCTTGCACAGGCACCACCAGGAGCTCTTGTTGCAATAGTTATCTGAAGGTCTGAATGACGCAGTCCAAGGTCAGCCCACCATCTTTGCAATTACCCTTTCTGCAAAAAGTAGGGAAGGATGAAAGAAGGAGGTAAGATCTCTGCAGCTGGACCTTGACTGTCTTTATAGCAATAAATCCCATGTAATCAGGTGTTTTTATTATTACCATATCTCTAATACCTGGTAGGGGAAAGGTAGATTTGGGGAATTGCTGTTAGGAATTAGGGTCTAGAAAGATCTGGCTTGCTCCGGCACTGGGGCACAGCAGCTCCAGAAGCCCTGTTGCAGCCTCAGCCCAGCTCTCCAGTTCAGAAGCAGGGCAGCCATGGAAGCTCTGTGGTGCAGGACATGAGATGATGCAGGATGTGGGATGATGCAGGATATGAGATATGAGATATGGGATGATGCAGGATGCAGGATATGGGACGTGGGATGCAGGATGTGGGGTGCAGGCTGGCTGGCCTGGCATGGAGAGCTGGCCTGGCATGTGCTGGCCCATGTGGCTCAGGGAAATTGTGAGCAGGGCTGCCATGTCTTATTTAACAGAGTGTTTCCAGTTCCTGGCCTCAGGGGGCGACAGCACCATCACAGGAGAGATCTGTGAGCAGATTTTATGCGGGTTTAGGGGGCTGCAGGGGAAACCAGGCTCTGCTCCCTTCTCATGCAAAGAAGCCACAAGCACAACTCCAAGAGGACAGTGAGAATGCTGCAGGGCATCTTCCCTTTTCAGATATGAAGAGGCAGCTTTTTAATGAATCCTAAAAGTCACGAGGGAGACAATGGCTGAACAGGATGAAGACAGAAGCAGTCAGGCTTTTCCATCCCAGGGCCAGGAACATCCATATGTTGGATGGTCCAGCTGGGACAGCTACAATGCAGCTTTTCCTGTATCCCCAATTCAACCCATTCACAAAAACCAAACCAAACTTGCCCCAGCCTTCTACCACATCCATTACCTCCTCTGGGCTTCTGGAGTATTCAGTAAAGCCAGTCACCAACTCTTAAAACCTCTGCAGGTTCTCCAAATAACCTATGCCAGGGCTGTAGAAATCTTAGGGAGTGCTTGATGTTGTGCAATCTATCTACCAAATGCAATTTAGCAGCAGCCATTTATCTACATGAGGTATGTCAAGTTCCCCTGGTGTGATCCCCTTTAACCTACTCTCTTTTAGTGGGTACACCGTGATTTCAGCCTTTGCTCTTGCTCATTAGATGCTCGTGCTTTAATCTTTCACATTGGAATGCCAAGATACATCCACTCCTCTTTAGATGGTATTTTTTTCAAATCTTGTCTTTGTAAGAAAATTGCATCCAATACAGAGATGTATGTAATTTACTTCTGGTAACTTCAGTTATTTTGATTAAAAATTTTCTCATTTTGCACTTTAGAGTATGTAAGCTTGGAGTAGATGCTGTTGCTTTTATACTTAAATCTCCAAACAGAGT